CGGACAGGTTGACCCCACGCGCAATTTATCTGAAAACGACAACATCAAAAACAAAATGTGGGAGTGATTGGGCTGAATTATTGTCACCAAGATTGTGACTTTCAAGTGTGAATGCAATTTTTGTCTTCGCACGGTTTGTTATGCGGTGATTAGGATACCTAGACTGGAAATTTACAGTAAAGTATGAGGTTAGCGACAAAAAAAAAAAAAAAAAAAGAAAAGAAAAGAAAAACAACTCTAACGTGAAAAATGGGGGAGATGCTGCCTTGGCATTAGCAAAAAAAAGCAAATTCGGTAGTATGAATTATCTCCGTATCTTCGTGTTTTGATATTTGTGTTTTGATATATCCATGTGACGTTAGAATAGTGAACGAAGAGAGTTCTCGCATACCAAGCTCAAAAAGGCTATGATGCTAATGTTCATCTCAGAATTAAGGAAAAAAGAAGTTAATTCATCATATGGCATGGTTAATTTTCTTAATCTAGCGTAGTTTCTTATCCATCCTGCTTTATGATTCCCAAACAAAAAGGTATTATGAAAGCATTCGGGCCTTCGGGGAGGGTGAACAATTTTCATCCTGTCGTGCATAATATTTGTTGGCCCATTTGAATCATTCACAAATATCATAGAATTGTGAGCTCCTATGCCATTTGCAATTTGGAACTAGAAGGATTATAATTTGAGTAAATTATAAATTAGTATGTTGTTTAATTTTCCAAAACGAATTAAATCATCTTTTTTAGTTTATACAATTACTTAATTAGCTTTTTTGTCCATTTCATTGTTTTCAATTTTTTATAAGAAATAAAAAAATTAGTTATAATATGAAAAAATATAACTTTTTCAAAATAAAGTAAAATTTAATTAAGCATATCAACATTAATTAAAAAATTGATTAATAATTTTTTATAACTAAAGAGATTATTGAATTCGTTTTATAAAACTAAATAAATTAATTTATAATTTACTCTTATATTTTATGCATCACAGTCAAGTTTCAGCTAGAATAATAAATGCTAATATAAAAAAGAAGTCATCAAACGAAGGGTGAATACACAAACGATAACCAATTTTAAGGATGCAAGTAGTATTACAAGAAAATAGAAGGCCATCCCGAATTGCAAATACACTAAAAGTAAAGCACCAACCCCAAAACCAAGGATGCAAAAAGTAAGAAGGGAAAGAAAAGTTGAAAAAAGAAAGGACTCAGTTAAAAAACATGCCAGAAAGCACGCCGTTGGCGGCTATGCGTCCGCAATAGCCGCTGTTATAGTGGGCCCATTAAAACCTCTATTCACTGTAAAATACCACATGTCATCTATCCAAGGCTTCACCCGCATCTTATCTCTCTTAAACCCTGGCTATGTCCAGTACGCCCTGCTGTCACCCAAAACCTCGCGTGCATGGTAGGCCATTTAACTATCCTTTGACCAAAACTTAACACTCTCTCTCTCTCTTACAGTCTTGTTTTGAAGCACGAGCCAGCCCAAGCGTGCGCATATGCATGCGCTCTATAAGATCCCAACGGTGATGCGATGCGGATTTCTAACATTAGTACTGGCTTATTTCTTTTCAGGCTCATTATTTCTATTGTTTCTTTTTATCACGAGACATGACCTCTCAGATTCCGCCGCGTGTTCCGTGGCTTTTGATCGTGTGGTCTACATCACGTGAGGAGGAGGTGCACGGGAGAAGCAGGTTACGTGAGCGTCATTAGAAAATGGGATGTCAAAGATAAGACGGCGTGTTGATTAGAAGTTGTAAGTCGCGTGTATCACTTTTTCGCATAAAGTCTGCTGTTTCCTACTGTATCCGGAGATTTGGTGGTCGGACTTCGAAGATTTTCTTTTTTCTTTTAAGTCCTCTTGTGGTTTTTTCTTTTTTAAAGAAAAAAACTATAGAGCAGCAGTACTGCTCTGGTTAACCTGTAAGTACTTTGGAATTGTTTAATTTGGAGAGTTGGCAATTATAATTGATCGACTGATTTAATTACTGTGCAGTTAAAATTACTTCTTTGACCCTCTCTTGGACTGTCTTGTGGGTTGCTCGCTTATGGAGTAAGAGAGTAGTGGAAATGAAAGGATACGTGATTGCTGCCCTCGTGAAAATGTTCAATTTATCGTTTGGGTTCGCGAATCTAAGTACAGGTGATTCGTTAGTTGAGGTGTCCCTTTTATCGAATTCAAATTTTTTGTGCTACAGTGTTTATGGTTTCCTAAAGAATGAGCAAACATTGATTCAAAATTTACCTATACTTTGTCAAAATTTCTACTTAAAATCTTATAGAACTATTGATTTTATTTTTTATTTTTTTTAAGGGACGATAACTCAAATTGAAATTTTAATAAAGTATAAGTACGAAAATTACTATTATCTCCAATAACATGATGTATAAAACACACACAAAAAAAACATTACGTTTAATCTGCCGAAAACACTTTATATTTTTTAGTTTTGATACTCCCGATCTATTTTGCACGATAGTGTATTGATGTGGAAATTTCGATAAATAGAATAAAACACACACACGTCACATTATTCTAGACAATAGTAAGTTTTGAATTTGTACTTTATTAAAATGTCAATTTGATATATAAAAGTAATCATATCATCGAACTTAGTTGAGTTTCCAGATCGTAATACAAATTTATTTAACTTAATACGAAAGACAGCGCTTGAGAGAGCATGAGTAGCAAGTATCTCATGGTATTTTCTAAAGAAAATCAATTTACCCTAGACTAGAAGTTATTGGAAATAAATATAATGGATCTTTATATATATAGTTGGTAGCGTGGTGTCTAGTTACTACATGCATGCTAAAACAAAATTTCTCAAAGACTAGCATTAAGAGTCTAAGAAAGCACACATAATAATCATAAATAATGATTTAGTGATAAAAATTTTGGATTTCTAATAAATTTAAAATTTAAATCTCGTTTTTTTTATGACCATTCGCAAAGTTTGTGTTTGTTTCTCTTGATCTAAGAGTATAAAGAGCTTCAAACTTTTCGTTTCAAAATTAATTTATATCTATAAAAACATGGTTGAAAAATTATCGATTATCAATAAAAAAAGCACACATATTTCAAAATGGCTTGTATGTCCATGTCGGCCTCGTTAAACATGGATGAATGCTCGATGTGGGTGCGCATGTCGCTAACTCAATTTAAACTCGGATTCATCCAGGTTTTATTATTATTATTATTATTGATTTTGAGGAGAAATTAAATACATGGAATGTTGCATTATCCAAAAATTTCCGACTAAATTGAGAGCGAATGCGTTACATGCATGTGATCGACCCGGATCGAGTAAAACACGAAAACCTCATTTAAGTTGTTTTTTAAAAAAAGTTTTCGAGTGTAGATGACGAGCCACCGTTTGTTGAACCAACATAATTATTTATCATCTGTTGTACTATGGGAAGTTGATTGATCTCTTTAGTGCAACTTGCTCACAAGCAAGTCTAACTTGCCATCTAAACAACAAACTAATGACGAAACAGAGCACTAAGCACGAACTCATTATTCTTACGTGAAATGGGGATTAATTTCGTAACATGGCGATTTTCTAGTCAACATGATAATTACATTACCGTTAGAGGTGGATAATCTTGACTTGTAAATGCGAGTTAAACAAAAAGCAAATGGCAATCGAAGTGTATAATGGAAGACTTCAATCGATTGGGACAAGAAAGTTGAACTATGAGCCAACCAATAATGTCTCTTAATGTCCTTTTGAACTCAATAAATTGAGATGAGTAATGTTGAAGCAGAGAGCTAATTTTAGGGTTACTAATGCCCTTATAATTACTCTGCAATCGGACGCACGGTGCGGCTCATTAAAACTCAAATGCCATCATCGGTGGCTAAAATAATGCGTTTTTCCACTAAAATTGCATGAAATTTGTTATAATTACTCTTATTACAAGACCACGTCCTCGTGTGAAAAATTATATTCACTCACATAAAAAATGCGTTGGGCCATACTACATATCCGAAAAAGGGAATATACAACAATTATCATAAACATTTAAATGTTGTAACTCGGGCAATTAATTAGCGAGATGCATTTATAGAGAGTAGTGGTTTCCATGTCAAACGGATTCAACTACTAGTGCTACTGCTCGTGCTACGCCGGTGCTTCGGAACGGTGGTTCTAGTAAGTATTTTGGGGGTTGACTTACTAGTCGATGCCCTACTCGGTGTTGAATTTGTATTTCAATCCAACTATGTTGAGTTGAAATGATTAAAGTCGTTCTCCAATTCTAGTACGTCAAACACCATATCATTCTCGCTACTGAAGGGGGATTTCTTGGAGCCATCTCGGTTAGAGAAGGTGGGAGGTTTACTTCAACATCACATCTATAAGATTGCGATGCGAAGGTTTCGTTTTCTTGTCATCAAAGGGATCCGAATGTGCAACAACCTCATCTAAATGATGTTTCATCACATTGTAGCATGGTGCCCCATCAAAGCAAATATACATGTGTGTGTGTGAGTATGTGTGCGGATTATACTTATGTTTGTCTTTGTGCACGCCTTAACATTAATGTCGAAACCTTAAATTTCCTACGGTAGATAAGAAAATATACAATTCCCTTTCATGAACATCGGCATAACAACACTTGATACTTGCCCATTATGTTTGGACCTTGTCAACGAAATCATAAGCGTGCCCATTTCACGTGTTTGATGATGGAATTTCGATCAATTTTCAAACCCAACCACCTTACTCAATATCTCCTAATAATCTCGAGCCACTCGAACTTAACTTCCAAACACCCCCTTAAAGTAAGTTAAAAAGAGGGTTGACGCTTTCTAATGGGCCATTTCTTTTTGGTAAAATAAATATAGAGTAGAGTGGGATAAAAGTCTAAGAAAGTGGGTGGTGCTTGAGCATTTAGTATTTGAGAGAGGGGGCATGGATTCCCTCCTTTTGGCTCTCCTTTGTGTATTGGTTTGTGGGTATTGTTAAAAGCACAACGAGTATTATCTTTTTAGTGCGGGTTGGAGTGGGTATTGTTTCTAGCTTTCCAAGCGTGGATGTTTTTGTTGGAGAATCCACAACCAAATGGCTCCATGGTTTCATGCCCCACGCTAGTTCCCCCACCAAAAATCAACTTATATGTTAATGACCGCCTCCGAAGGAATTTTCCTTCCTCGGTCTTTCTCTCAAAGGAAGTAAATTAATTTATTCATTGTAAATGTCGATCAATGCTAGCCTTATAGGTGGCTGATTAATCTTGATCGATCAAAATTATCCTTTTGTTTTGTTATGATCAATAAGTTCTTTGTGCCCAATAAACTAATTTTAGTGCCAGAAAACACGAAAAAAAAACCTTGATTTGTTTACATGAAAGCCATTGCTCTTTATTGTTATGCTCTAATTAATTAAAATCATCAAGCAAATTAAAACACTTGAATTTTTATTGGATCTACGCGTCATGTATCACGTTATTAATGCACCTAATCAATCATGGCCTCCATCAACCTTGATTGAGTAGCACAAACCAACCCAATTGTCCTGAATTATGGAAATAAAGGGATTATCAATACTCAACCAAACCTAAATCAAATTGTAATAAAGGAAAAAAGAAGAAGAAGAAAACGAGGTTGTTATGTTCGTGCATCGATCCAGACCCCTCAGGATATGGACAATCCACTAGGAAGTTATGTATCGGTGCTTTACACAGAATCCTCCATTTTATTTTCTCGGTGGGTACTACTAGGCTTGAGCTTGCATTAAAACAAACCCATACATGAAAGACTTTTTATAATTAGTTATAAGTGGTCAATCCACCATTCCCGTGCCATTGCTAGATACTTATTGGATAATTTGATATTACACTCCAGAAAGCAACAGCATTTAACACCTTTAAATTAATAATTTGGTGATTAAACGAGAGTGGTAATATGATGATTAAATAACACACGAGACGTGTGGAGGAATCCTTAGCTTTACATCTCATTCTGTATTTGTATACGGAGCTGTTGTTTTAGTGCCACCAAAAGGGTAGACCCAATGGGATTGGGAAGGAGTAGAGGAAATTGATTAGGCATGGTTATGGACTTGTGGTTCCCTCCACTCCAAACAAGAGGGCATGAAAGTATACATATTGTTAGCCATTGTTTATTCTTAACTTGTGATATGTTAATGGGGCAATGGATCTTCTTACCTGTGCATAAGATCTTCTTCAGGTGATTAAATCATGGGTATAAAGATATATATTATTCTGTGGATGTGGTACCATACCCTGCTTGGCACAGTAGACTTCTTTTTTTTTCCCACTCGTTCTGATTACTTTATGCAAATATATAAGAAGGAAACATGCAGGTAGCTTCTAATGTTAATTTTCACTTCTTGAATTAGATGTACTTTGTGTGGGAATTATATTGTACTCTGAACGGTACCTTAGCCATGAAAAAAAATGGCACTACGTGTCATAGGGTTAATAAAATTCATTGACGGTGAAAAAAAATTCTCTAATTCGACTGGTAAATAATATCATTTCGTTTTGAAACGGGCTAGGAATTTTGAGTTAGATTGAATATTTTCTCTAGTTTTACTGAGATTGAAAAAAACAAAAAAGGCATAAGTAATCCTTAGAAAATGTTGCCTGTGAATGCAGCAATAACTTCAAGTCATTGCTTATTTTACTTTTTGCATTACGGAAAAATAAAATAAATATCTATGTTTAAATAATTTAATGACAAATAAATTAAATTTAATCAAAGTTATAGTTAAATTAAACCACGGAAGTAACAAACAACTTTTGCTATACATGGTCAAAAAGATGGATGGAGTTGAAGAGGGAAAGAAAATGGTGAAAGTTCGTGGCCCTGTAAAGGAGATGAAGAATGAAATTTAATGAAATATAGTACTGCCATGGTTGGGCCAATCCATTGATGGCCATTTTGATGGTTCCGGCACATCCATATATCACATCAATGAAAAGTATTTTTGAACTTTATGGAGGGACCAGTGACCATATAATCTATAGGCCTTTTTACTCTTCCCAACCCTAAAAGTTAGGCAATCGATGGATGTTAACCAGAGCTTATACTGTCAGGTGGAGTGTGAGTCTAAAATACGATGCAACCCAATGGCCAATGCTGATCAGTGGGACCTGATCATCTCTCCATTATCATGGTTTGAATGGTCAAGCATCAAATTATTGGTGTTCATGGGAAACATAGGATCCCATCCCTTTCTACTTCCCTTCTTTCCTTTGCAAATATTGGTTTTCCTGCCCTGGTCTGTTTTCATCCCTGCATAAGCTTCCAACATACCCCGGATAGGGAGGGAGGGATTAATAGCATGTAGAAATTTTATGATGCTTAAGAAATAATCAGTAAAAATTATTTTATTAAAAAAATAGGTATAAAAAATTAAAAAAATTTTAACCTAATATGAAAAAAAAAATTTGTCGCTTTTGAAGGGTCGGTGTGTGTGTGTGTGTGTGTGTGTGTGTATATATATTCAAAAATGAGTTCATGTAGTAATTATTGTATATGTTTAGTAGTTATTTATTTAGTATTGTAAAATTTCTTAATAGCATGAATCCTTTTTTTGCTCTAGTATTTTTTTAATGTAGTCTTTATATTTTAAATTTTTTTTATCGCATATTTATGTTTTCTAATTTTTTTTTAATATACCTCTTTAGATGATTTTTTGGTCAATTTTTTTTTTTAGTACAAGTGACATATGTTAAGAAATTTAATATATGTGGCATCATATTAAATAAAATTACTACGTGGCCAAAAAAAACTACAAAAATTAACTGATTTTTTTTTGCATAATTGAAAATATTATTTTTTATCACCGAGAGATAAAGAGAAGAGAGATTTGTTGGTGTTGTTTAGGACTCGCTATGCTAGATTCGTAAGAGAGAGAGGTGGTTGGTTGTTGAGTCAATAGAAAGAGGAAGAGAGAAAGAAAGATGCTATGAGATGATTTCGTCATCATAAGATTAAAACCAATCTTCTCTCTAATTCTTCCGCAAATATTATTTCTATGGATTCTTTTTTTTTTTTTAATCGGGACCATAAGAATTTCTAGTAACCCACTTGTCATGAAAAAAAGGGTATTAGTTCTTTTAAAACCCTTATTGGATTTCTTAAAGCAACTATATAACTAATTGAGATTCTTGTTTTTGGCTTCTTAATCCAATTAAGATTCTCATTAAAAAAGACGATAATTCACTAAAAAGTCTATCGGTTTGTTTATTTGCAAAACCCTTTTGTTATCAACACTAAAACATAATCTCACATCATTATTCACATTACAATCTATTGAAATCTCTATGTTTTTGCCTAAAAAATCTTGCTTGCTTAATACGACTAACCTTTTTGGTTAAATACACGAGAAAAATAACATTTCTCTTTTTTCTACTATAGTTCAAGGTTACAATAAATGTTTTAGATTTTATGATGCTATTGGGTTATTTTATAGGTTGCATAAGGAAGGTTACAAGCTAAAACCTTTTGTTTACAATATTGTTTTGAAGTTGTTTGTTCGAGCTAAATGGGTCGAATCGAGGTTTAGTATCCATGTTGTGTTTGTAAGCTTTAGTATCGAGTCTAATGTCTTTATGAGTATTGCTTTAATTTATTGTTACTTTCTTTATGGGTATGCTAAATGTGCAAGGTAATTTTTTGATGTAATTGAATACAAGAATATGGTTTCTTGAATTGAGATGACGACTTGTTATATAGAGAATGAGTGTCTTGAAGAGTCTTTAACATTTTTTTTTTTTTTTGTGCAAATGAGAGTCATTAGGTTTAAACCAATTAGTTTTTTCTGTTTTAATTTCATTTTTAGCTGATTTTTTTCAACTTATTTGGTCTTTTTTATTTTTTTTCACTTAACAATTTAATTTGATATGAATGTTTTGAATTTCCAAGTGACCTATGTAGTTTTCATTGAACTAGATTTTACCAAAAAGTTGAATTTCTTAATTTTCAGCATTTCAAAACCAAATTCAACTCCGTTTTTGTTAAAAACACCTCAAAAATATAGAAATAATGTAAACGTTTGTTTAGAACCTTAAAACTCATTTCAAAGCATACAAAACTCACGAAATTCAAATCAAAATAAAAAAGAAACTCAAAATATTTTTAAATCTCAATTTACATCTTTTAATGATTTATTCGCTATCTGCTTCTTCGACCAAATTTAGCTCCTTTTTATTAATCAAAAAAACACCTCAAAGTCATATGTCCTTACACATGTCATTTTTTTACCATATGTGAGGGACAACACCGAAAGAAGTTAGAAAGTAGAAGGATTCAATAAAAATAAATAAATAGGCTACATTAAAAAAAATGTCAAGAGAGTAAAAAAAATAAAAAAAAATTCATGCTATTAATCTTATAAAAAAACACCGTATTCATGCTCGCATTGATTACTTATTAAATAAACTAATGACATTCGTTTTTAAAAAAAAAAATTGCTAAATTAGTACAAGTTGTTGTACGATCCATGTAAGTGGATCTTTGTTGTTTATCAAAGATCATGGCATAGGCAAACTTTCTATATATATAAAATTTACATAGATGGACTTAGTTAAGCGGTTGTGTATTCAATTAAATTTTTTAATGAAATAAAATCCGAGTCCTAATGAATTCAAGGTTTTTTTTTTTGTGTAATGAGAGAAAATTATCTTTTATGGTGTAGACAAAAGTGTTGAGATTTTTTGTTTTTTTATAATTTTTTAGATTATACGAATTCGTATTATTCCTAATTAAGCTTCGATTGTTAGCGGTAATTATTCCTAATTAGATCCTAATTGTTAGCAGTCATTAGTTTTCTAATTCTAGTTCCCTAATTCCGACTCCTTTGTACTATAAGTTGAACCGTACGTATCTTTTTCCTTTCGAGATGAATAATCAAATAATTAAATGTTTTTCTTCTCTTGTTTTTTCAAGTTGGTATCAAAGCCAACAAAAATTTCTTAATAAAGCTTTAAAAAAAAGAATGGAAAAGGCGTTGAAATTTTTGGATTGAAATCGATGCTTATTGTTGTTCAATCCAAAGGTGGTTTTAATACAAACGTTGTTCTTACTCGAATCAAATTATGATGTTTGGTCACAACTAATAAAGATACATATTGTTGAAAGGAAAAAACTCTCGTATATTCGTGGTAAGACAATACCACCTACGAATCAGAAGATGGATATAAAAAATGGTATGATAAGAATCAAAAAGTAAAAAGATGGCTATTGATGTCTATGACACCGGATATTATGAAGCGGTATTTACGCTTGCCCACTACCCCCGAAATTTAATGTGCCTTGTCAAAAGCCTTTTATGATGTAAGTGATGAGTTGGAAGTCTTCTATTTGAACTAAAAAGCATCTACGACTAGATAAAGTGGAAAATCTATATCCGAATACTATGAGGAGTTGATTATTGTTTTTCAAGAATTAGACTATTGAGATAAAGTGATCATAAAAAAGTATGATTACGTTGCAAGCATATTGAAAGTCTATTGAATGACTATGGGTACATAAATTTACGGTTGGATTGGATGATGTTTTTGAATAGGTTTGTGGAGAGATTCTACATAAGGAATCAATTCTAAATCTAGAAGAATGTTATGTATTGATTCAACGAGAAACAAGTACATCATGAAAACATTGAAAAAAGAGTCCGGAAATTCTAAAGCTATAGCCATGGTGACTCAAATATGACTAAAGACAACTAGTGGTTTTGAAAAATCTACCTATAAATATGCCTATTATGACCGGAATGGACATACCAAATATCATTGCTATGAACTTATGGGATATCCAAAATGGTGGGATCATAACCAAGCACCTCGAAAAAAAAATCCTAAGAGGTCCCCAATTGTTGTTGTTGTTGAAACAAATGCAAGTGATAATGTTCTTGAGATACCCTCGGCATTGGTTGTAACACCTGCTAGTCGAGACACCTCACTTGAAGGGTCACGATCAACGAGTCGTTATTAAAATGTATATCTTTTTATTTTTCTTAAAACTAAGTTCCTAATTTAATCTTATTTAAATATGTCAATTTAAAAATATAATTAATAATATATAATTATAAGATTTTCTTATTAACATAGCGGAAGCGTTATTTTAAAATTTAATATTTATAAAATATCTCTCACTATAATTAAAATTTTTAAATAATCTTGTCTCAATATTCATATCTAAATTCTAAGTAAAAATTTCTAATATTCATAAGTTTAATATCATTATATTTATTATTAAAAATAAATATTCATTTAAAGCATAATCTAATTGTTAAGAACACACAAAGGCAAACACACGAGTCGATGGTCACCGAAGCAAGCATCAACATCCTCAACATTTGCATCATTGCCTACACCATAGAACGGACGTGAGATACAAATATCCCAATAAGTGTAACATGATTTTACATTAAAAATTTTTGTACATGAATGTCTTTAAAATTATTTTCCTCATTTGGGCTCGTTAAAAGATACTAACACCGAGTAGCGAGGTCTAGCCTCAATAAAAACATGCATAAAAAGATTAAACTAATCATTAAATAGTCAAACCTCAATATTTATGCCTCGATAGGCAACCTTTGTAATAACCTCGTCCCAAAAACATACACTCGTTCATGCATACACGCACACTTATGAATTACATGCATATAATTATACTCGCATATGACATGTTAGTGGGTTATTGAATAATAAGTATTTTGAATAATATGAAGAAATGAGGGCTCAATCGAATTAATATAAGTTGGAGAACTAGAATAAAAACAAGCCACACATCGAGGGACCAAAACGAACTTTGCCAATATATATATATATATATATATATATATATCTCAAGTCATCTCTTCATCTTCATTTTGCAATCCCTAGCTGGGAAAACAAGAGTGAACCAAAGAGAGAGAGAAAAGAAAAAGGAGAGAAAAGAAAAGGGAAAGATAAAGGAAAAACCATAGTTTTTTCCAAACCAAGTCGAAAGCTAGGTATGTATCTCATGTAACAATGTTTTTATACTATTTAATTTGAGAATTTAGAGTCGATTTTGAAAAAAAGGCTAAAACATAAAAGTTATAGATAATACCTTGAAATAGTACCTTGTTAAATTTAAGCTTAAGATAACCAAGTATATCCTTTTTTTTATCCCTTGCAAATAAGTTATTCGGATCTTCGGTGAATCCTGCAGACAAGTTTGATTTTTAGAAAATCACCATGAGTTGTGTATTTCGTAACTAGACTTGATTTTTGGATATGTTAGAGCCCTATGAGTATAGTTTCATATGAAACTGAAATTGTATCA